GCACTTCATTATGTATAAATTGGTTATAATGCTCAGATTATTGGGTAATGGGTATGATAATTTTTGGTTGTATTACTTGTATTGTTTGGTGATATTGCTTGTTGTTCGACTGCCATGTGTGTGCATTGGGACCACTCTGGACTGGAATTCCATTGTTTATGAATAGAAAAAAAAAAGAAAAAAAAAAACAGTGAGTAGTTTTAAACACATGGGGACCATTTCTTAGTTTGACATATTGTAGGTAATTTCTTATGCACTTCCTTAGGGCAGTCCATTCCATCAAACCCTTCTATATATTTCACATGGCAATCATTCTTTTAGAGGATAGTTCTAGTGATGGGAGTTGGTTGATTTTATATTGCTAGTCATCCTTGGTTTTTCTTTACTTCTCTATTTCAGGTTGCCTTTTTGGCCTTTTGCTAAGGGGTATTATAATAATAATAATAGTAATAATTATTATTAAATTCATAGTAATAAGAGTTGAGAAAAAGGTAAGAAAAAGAAGAGGTTGATATGAACTCATGTGTTGAACTCAAGCTTCAATTCTGTTGTGCAATCTGCAATGGGATCTCATCTATCTGCTTTTATCTTTTGCATTATATTACTACAAAAGTTCAAAACCTAAAAGAAAAAAGTGCAATATTCATATGCTTTGATGGAGCTCATTGTTCACAAAATATTAAGGGGCAGATCAGATACCATTTAACAGTGTTGTTTGATCAATAGAGATTTCCAGGCCAATTCCCAACAATTTAATTTGAAAGAAATTCCATGTTCATCATCACCACTTGTTCACTGGTCCCAAATCCACCTTCTTTCCACAGATTCTATTTCATTTCAGTGCAGTGAATGCTAGCTGCCTCACAAGTTAAGATAAGCAGAATATAATTAAAGTACATGCATGCATATATGAAATGGAAACCTCTGGTAGGGGTAACATTATTACAGTTTATTGTATATATATGCATGCATGTACTTTAATTGTATATATGAGAGAATAACTGTGTTGAGCAGTTTAAGATACTATTTGGTTACATTTCTTGCTCAGTTTTGGCTACATTTCTTGCTCAGTGTTATAGTTTTGATTTGTTAAAATTCAAACATTTAATTAATATGCTCTTTTAGCTTTACTAAGACTCCTGCTATTGACTTAGGTGTTTGTTAGTGGTATTAGTTATGCCATTTAGTTTAGTGGGTAAAAAATGACCTATATTTCCAAATGCAAAATAAAATTACAAATTAGTTTATCATTGTGAAGCTCCATTTAATGGTGCACCATATATTTAATGATATAGTATTGTTATGTTATATTTCTCCATCTGTTGAATGTTGACTGATTCACTAATTAAGCCTAAGACTTTAGGTAGGAGTTTGCAGGTCCAATCTCCATTCCCATCAAATCTTCCCAAAAATAAAAAAAAATAAAAAGCTGAAAAGAGACGTTTTAGTACTATCCGTCCATAAATTTTAATGATTTAAACTTGTATACCTGCAAATATTGTTAGCATATGAATCACCGACTTTTGTTGAATGCAATAGATCTGCTAGTTAACACTTCAAGAGTAGTTATACATTCTGTTTTCTGCTTCCTTGTATAGGGAAATTAACTGGAGTGATTTTAAAGTAATGTTTTTCCTTTGATGTCAACTTAACTTTGACTTGGTGTTTCTTTTAGGTGGATCTAGATCTTGGGAACTATGAGCTTTCCTAGATAATAAGCTGACGCGGGACAACAATATAACTACTGGGAAAATTTACCAGGCATGTATTTACATTCAAAGTGTTATCCGTACTTGTTATCTGTTTGGCTGGCCAAATAAATCAAACCACAACCGCTTCTTAATTTTGTTACTGTAGTTTGTTGTTATTATTGGTATTTTAGCTCTTTAATTATTTGAAAATGAGGTTTTAAGTTTAAATTAAATCCTCTCTATTTGATCTAATAATGTTAATTTAAGGTGTCAAATCTTAATATTAGTGACACAAATATTAAAATAGTATTATTTCTAAGTATTTGAAATAAATGGTATTTCATAGTACTATAATTGACAGATATGGATCGGAGTTGGATGTATGAAAAACGCACTACATTCAAATATATACAAGGGGTTCAAGAGTTTATAGAATGTGCTGAAAAAAATAAAAGTCAAAAGGCCGAAGATTTTATATCGTGCCCGTGTTATGATTGTAAAAATTTGAAAAGATATCGGAGTTCTGAAGAAGTGAAAGTCCATTTAATACGCCGTGGCTTTAAAGAAGGGTACGATCGATGGATATGGCATGGTGAAAGCTTACCTCCTAGTACAAGTGTTAGTAAGAATGAAGCTCATGCAGGCAGTCAAACTCATGCAAAGAGTGAAACTGAAGCAAATAGTCGAACTGAGGCAGATAACGAGGAGAATGATGAGGATGATGGAATTAAAGACCGAATAGATGAAATGATGCGTGATATGCAGGGAGATTGTAGTGAAATGCCTCCTGAATTTAAATGTTTGTTTGAGAATGCTGAAAAACCTTTGTTTTCTGGGTGTGCCAAATATACTAAGTTATCTGGTGTGTTTAAATTATATAATTTAAAAGCAAATAATGGATGGAGTGATAAGAGTTTTACGGGATTATTAGAACTAATAAAAGACATGCTTCCTAATGATAATGAACTTCCAATTCAAGTTATGAAGCAAAGAAGTTGTTGTGTCCGTTGGGTATGGAAATTGAGAGGATACATGCATGTCCAAATGATTGTATATTGTATTGGAAAGAATACAAAGACTTGCATGTATGTCCAAAGTGTGGGTCATCGCGTTACAAAAGGAAAAATGTTGGTGATGAACCAAAGAATAAGAAAGGTCCACCAGCCAAAGTGTTATGGTATTTACCTGTAATACCAAGATTTAAACGCACGTTTGCTAATCCAAGGGATGCAAAAAATTTGCAATGGCATGCTATTGGGAGAAAAGATGATGGAAAACTAAGACACCCCGCCGATTCACCACAATGGAGGAATATTGATAGGAGGTGGCCTGAATTCGGTACTGAAAACAGGAGTCTTAGACTTGGATTGTGTACTGATGGAATGAATCCTCATGGTAACATGAGTAGTCGACACAGTACTTGGCCTGTCCTTTTAGTAGTCTACAATCTTCCACCTTGGTTGTGTATGAAGCGAAAATACATCATGTTATCGTTGTTAATATCAGGGCCTAAACAACCAGGAAATGACATAGATGTATATCTAGCGCCACTTATTGAAGATTTAAAAATGTTGTGGAATGAAGGTGTGTCGGTGTATGATGCTTATACTCGAGAAAGTTTTACCTTACGTGCAATGATCTTTTGCACCATAAATGATTTTCCAGCCTATGGTAACCTATCAGGTTATACTAATAAAGGAGCTAAGGCATGTCCTATTTGTGAAGATGAAACAGCCAATCTATGGTTGAATAACAGTAAAAAGAATGTGTTCATGAGTCATAGGACATTTCTTCCAATTGATCATCCTTATCGAAAGAAGAAAAAAGCTTTCAATGGAAAATCAGAGACTGGAGTAGCTCGTTTTCCTTTATCTGGTTTAGCGGTTTATGACCGTGTTATAATCAACATATTATTTTCTTTTAAATGTAAACCTAACATATACAATTTTAACAATAGAGCCGAAAAAAGTGTATTCTTGCAATATGTGGTTTTGATGGTAAGCCAATCGATGTTGCAAAGGGTACGGTTTACCCAACTACAGATGAGATGACAATGGTGAGCGATGCGCTACTTTTACCTAACCATGTCAAAGTGATGGTCGATGAAGTGCTTGATGGTGCAGAGCAATATAATCTCCCCGTGCCAACATTGCAGCATTACACTTTGGCACATATTGTTGGGAGTCACGCACAATGGCCTACTCACTTAGTTACTTTGGATGAGGTATGTAAGGTCAATTTAGTTCACGTTCTTTCTATATTGGACAACAAACTGACTTAGGTAATTGAAAACACTGTTTGTGGTTGTCTCTAGTGTCTGCATGTTATTTTGGGATTTCTTAAGCGATAGTTGCATACAAAATTGAGTATTCTTTAGAATTGTAAATTAATTTGAACACAATCCTCTTCTCTTGGTAGGAAAATGTCAGAACAAGCTCAGAAAGACAAAATATGCAAATGACAGGTCAAAGTGCTGACCAATCTGCTACTTATATACGACCTCCAATTGTTGGTGAAAATGTGTTTTTGCTTTTGGGGACATATTGCAAGGAACTTGTCAGAGCGTTGTCATCATTTTCTGTTAAGAAAGAGTACATTGATGTGGAATTGGATTCTGCTGTTTTCCATCATGCAAACGCGAATGCTGTTTATGTGATGATAGATGATATATATGATTTGATGACATTGGCTTACCTCGATGTCTCAATTATACAAGTGTTTATGCTGTAAGTTTTAAATTGTTCATGTGTTTTATATACATTTATTTTTGTAAGTTTATTGAAATTTCTTAATTGTTATTTTTCAGGTTTTTGAATAAGCGGGGTAAGCAGCTTGGAGTGACATCTATCGGGTTTGCATGTCCAACACAAATTTCAGCAGATATGGTTCACTTAAATTCCTCTTCCGTTACATCACATTTCATTAAGGTCATGGAGGAACACAAGGATCAGCATTTCATTTTGGCACCATATCATCAAAAGTAAGTATTTTACTTAACTAATTTATTATATAACTTAATAACTTTATTTGAAGTGGTTGATATTAGAATTTTAATATATATAGATTAGAATACCAGATTAGAATAACGCACCAACAGTTTTGGACGACAGAACAGAACTGAGCATGATGACTCATCTTATTCCATAAATATTACTCGCTCTTCCCATTTTGCTTGTCTGGTTCGGTTAATGAAACTTGACTGAAGTTATTTTTAATTAAATTTTTTATAATGTTAAGTTTAGTATTAGTATATAAAATTTATATATTTAGAAACTACATTAAAATTACTATTAAACACAAAAAATCAAATTTAAAAATTACTAAAGAAAATAAGCAATAATACCTGATGTTTCAGAGTAGCCAAACTTTTTGTATGCATTGGAGATTGTGGAATAACTCCATTGGAAGGGGGAATGCCAATAAGACCACATACTATGACCTATTCAATGCATAAATATCAAAACGGGCATTTCGAGACAAATATTCAAGTTAAAAAGACAAAACGACAGATGCAATGACTTACCAAGAGGCCTAAAAGAAGGAGGTCATAGTGATACGAAGAAGGTTTCTTAAGGTTGAACTCCTTTTGTTGCGCAAGTTGAGATGCAACACTGTGGTCAAAGTAGTATAGCACGGCAATCATTGTTGCCGGAATAAATGCTCCAACAATATATAGTGGAGGCACAAGCACCATCTCCTGGTGAAAATATGCCATCACGAGTTTCACGTTAGTGGTCGAAAAAATGGAAAGAAAATGAGGTATCGTGTTTTAAATTCATTCCATTTGGGGCACACAATGGGAAAATGAATCAAAGAAGCACCTTTATAACTGTCCAGTTTTTATATGCACCGGGAGACCATGGATTTGGGCTGAATAGCCGTCGTGGTATTCCTTGTGGCACATCGTGAACCGGTATATAAGATATTGCAGTCCAAACAAGCACCATAAAGGGCACGCCATAGTCAGCAATTAATCCCCGGAGCCTACCTTTGAGCCACATTAAAATCTCATAAACATAGAGAATAAAAACGTATATATAAAGTAAGCTTCAAGAATATGTTTTTTAAATGCGAGTATTATCACCGTATTCACATAAAGTTCAAATAAAATAATATACCCGTCCCATAGCGCCATGACCTTGTTTTGCGGCTACTCAACGCTGTATAAAGAAGGCCAAACATTCCATTTCCAAAGCGCCAAGAAGGTAAGAATGCAGCCTGTTTAGGATTTTCTCTCTCGGGTATCCCAAACTCCTCGACGAGTCCCTTTATGATAGATACAATTAGTACTGGCTTTCAAGTAATTCGAGGCTAGACAAAAAACTTTACTTAGATGTTATCAGAAGATTAAAAATATTGGATTTGAAGCCAACTCACCTTAATCGCTTGCTGCATAAAGAGCATTGCAATCAGAAGTCCAAATAACTCACCAGCCAAGCGTGTACATCTGTTTATTATGGAGCATGCACCCAAAATTGCCAGCAAGAAAAGTAAAAAGGCAGTCCACATGCACACCCTAAAAGTTACAATATCAGAAAGCTCATCGGCACTACTATAATAATAATAACTAAAAAGTTAAGATTGAGTGTAGACTCAGGCATTACCATCCAGTCCAAGCTAGAAAAAGCGAAGGCCCCAAATCAAGAGTGGGCTCAGCTACCCCTAAAATCAAGAGTGGCTGTCCGCCGAAAATAGAGTGGATCACTCCACAAAGCGCTGTTGATGCAAGAGTCTGGACTGCAGTTATAATCCCGTCTGCCATACATGCATACATAGTAACAGAACTATGAGTACTATTGACTCTATTACATATATTGTTATGTTAGGATAATAATTATTGTGGCTCAAATTGAAGACAATTCCATGCAGCACTCTCTCCACTATCGCAATTGTCCGCGTCTCATGCAAGGCTTCACGTTACTACACAATTCTTCCGTGTTTAGCTCACATCCCTTTGCATCCCATTTTTTTCTCTTCTTTTGAGTGTATAAATAGACAGTAGTGTTTTCTTTGTACATTGCTCATTATTACATCAATTGAATTGTTCTTCTTATTTCTTTGTCCTCACGTATGCATTAATATATATATTTATATTCTTTGTCTTGTCTTTTTGAGACTATAATATATATATATATATATATATATATATATATATATATATATATATATATTCTCCCATTCTTAGTAATTATTTTGTCATTTATATTATTCTCCCTATTATTTAACTTCTATAATTCTCAATTTTCGATTCTTCGCTTCCACTATATTCCTAACAAGTGGTATCAAAGCCAAGTTTAATTGAGAATTATTTTCAAAGATGTCGACTGTTACCAAGTTCGATATCGAGAAGTTCGACGGTAAAATTAGCTTTTCTATCTGGAAGGTTCAGATGGAAGCCGTTCTAACCCAGAACGGTTTGAAAAAAGCGCTAGCTGGGAAGAAGAAAAAACCGGCTACAATGACAAATGAAGATTGGGAAGATTTGGATGACAAGGCACGTTCAACTATTCTTTTGTGCCTGTCTAAAGAAGTTCTACGTGAGGTAGTAAGTGAGACGACTGCGTCAGATTTATGGTCCAAGCTGGATGCGCTTTACATGGCCAAAACTCTGGCGAATACGCTACGCCTGAAGGAGCGTCTGTACACAATCCGTATGACGGAAGGTACTTCTATTAAATCTCACTTAGATGAATTCAATTCTATTTTATTGGACTTGGAAAATATTGATGTCATAATTGAAGATGTGGATCGTGCTGTTTTATTGCTTGTCTCTCTCCCTAATTCATACAAGCATTTCAAAGAAATTATGTTGTATGGTAATAGAAGTGATACCCTTACTTTTGACAATGTTAAGTCAAACCTATTGTCCAAAGAAAAGTTTGACTTTGAAATTAAGTCTGAGGACAAAGGTGAAGGCTTGACTGTAAGGGGTCGTTCACTTGAATCAGGGAGTAGCAATAAAAATTCTAGATCCAAGTCTAAAGGACATAAGTCCAACAAATCCTGTAAGTACTGCAAGAAGCATGGTCATGATGTGACTGAATGCTTCAAGTTGAAAAACAAGCAAGAGAGAGAAAAGAAGTCCGCTGAAGCTAGTGTTGTTGAAAGTGATTCAGATGGTGATGTGTTGTTATCTGTTAGCTCCGGTGAGAAACGGAGTGAAACCGAGTGGATTTTGGACTCTGGTTGTACATTCCACATGTGTCCCCACAAAGATTGGTTCATTTCTCTGGAACCAGTTGATGGTGGAGTTGTCTTGTTGGGTAATGATACCCAATGCAAGGTTAGTGGAATTGGAAGTGTTCAGATTAAAACTCATGATAACGTTGTCAGGACTCTTACCAATGTCCGGTATATTCCTGATTTGAAACGCAATCTGATATCATTGGGCACCTTGAAATCTCTAGGGTGCAAGTACACAGCTGAAGGTGGAGTTCTAAAAGTCATAAAAGACTCTCTTGTTCTCATGAAAGCTTCTCGATCTGGAAGCTTGTACGTGTAGCGGTATCCTCATCGATGTCTGATGCAAATCTCACTCAACTATGGCATATGCGTCTGGGGCATATGAGTGAGAAAGGCATGCATCTCCTGAGCAAGAAAGGTCTCCTTGGTGATTCAGGTACGGGTAAATTACAATTTTGTGAGCATTGTGTTTTTGGGAAACAAAAGAGGGTTAGTTTCTCTACTGCTACACACCGTACCAAAGATGTATTGGAATACATACATTCCGATTTATGGGGACCGACTAAATTCCAGTCTATGGGAGGCTGTAGATATTTCATGTCTATTATTGATGACTTTTCCCGTAAGATTTGGGTCTATTTCTTGAAACACAAAAATCAGGCTTTTCCTATTTTCAGAAAATGGAAAATACTTGTTGAGACTCAGACAGGGAAAAAGGTCAAGAAGCTCAGGACAGACAATGGCTTAGAATTCTGTGAGTCTGATTTCAATGACTTCTGTGCGGCAAATGGAATCGCCAGGCACAAGACCTTGCCTGGTAAACCCTAGCAGAATGGTGTTGCCGAACGTTTGAACGGGACTCTATTGGAAAGAGCTCGTTGTATGCTCTCTAATGCTGGGTTATGGAAACGGCGTGATTTTTGGGCCGAGGCCGTTTCTACTGCTTGCTATTTGGTAAATAGATCTTCACATTCATCCCTTGATTTCAAAATTCCAGAAGAAGTTTGGTCAGGTAATCCTGTTGACTACTCCGTCTTAAGAGTTTTTGGATGTCCTGCTTATGCTCATTCCAGTACGAGTAAATTAAACCCGAGAGCTGTCAAATGCATTTTCCTTGGTTATGTTTCTGAATCAAAAGGGTATCGTCTATGGTCTCCTGATTCTCAGAAAATCATTCTGAGTCGAGATATCACTTTTGATGAAAATGCACTACTTTCTTCTAGAAAAGTTCCTAGTACAGATGAGACACAGAGTACTGGTGAGAAGGTGGAGTTTGAGTTCAGGCCTATTGATAGTGTTACTACAGCTGATGGTAATACTAAAGATGATGCATCTACTAGCCCACACCTCTCGTCGAGCCACAACGAGAGTATTCCATTGCTATGGATCGTCCTAGGAGGACAATTAAAAAACCTGCTAGGTATGCTAGTGATGATGAAACCAATATGGTTGCTTATGCTCTTTCAGTCACATAGGAAGTTGATGGTGATCCATCCTGCTATTCTGAAGCTTTTCCTATTACTAAGTTCAAGTAGCGCTTGAGTTTAGTCGACTGTTCCAGTTGTTAATTCTCACTGTGAATTTGATCCAAGGTGGAGATTGTTAGGATAATAATTATTGTGGGTCAAATTGAAGACAATTCCATGCAGCACTCTCTCCACTATCGCAATTGTCCGCGTCTCATGCAAGGCTTCACGTTACTACACAATTCTTCCGTGTTTAGCTCACATCCCTTTGCATCCCATTTTTTTCTCCTCTTTTGAGTGTATAAATAGGCAGTAGTGTTTTCTTTGTACATTGCTCATTATTACATCAATTGAATTGTTCTTCTTATTTCTTTGTCTTCACGTATGCATTAATATATATATTTATATTCTTTGTCTTGTCTTTTTGAGACTATAATATATATATATATATATATATATATATATATATATATATATATATATATTCTCCCATTCTTAGTAATTATTTTGTAACTTCTATAATTCTCAATTTTCGATTCTTCGCTTTCGCTATATTCCTAACATGTTAGTACTGTACTATATATATATATTTATATATTATATACTTAATATATACATTACGTACTTATATATATATATATATATATATATATATATATATATATATGTATAAATATATATACGCATTACTTAGTTGTTGGCATAAAATCAAACAAAGGTGTGGTCATGAATGAAAGTAGGAAATGGATGTATACATGCGTACGTGTGCTGTGCTTTATGGAAAAATGAGATTGCAAAAATGTGGTTGTGCAAATATTGTGGACATTTGGAGTGGTGAACGTGTGTGCGAGTAATGTGCATGGAGTTAGGAAAGTGGTGGATTAGTTTATTACACGCAGCGTGAATCAAGGAAAGACATTACTATAAATTGGGAACATTCTAATGAAGAAGATCGGAGTTTCCAAAAACATAAAAATACAATACAAATTTGGAAGGTGCTATAATTGATTACTCAGAAGACACTACAAGGAAACTTCAGACGGGAAGAGGGCTTTCTAGTCTTCGATGTTCCACAAGCTACTCACCTGGAAGAGGGCTACCCGGTACTTACTAAGGCTCCACAAAGACCTGAGAATAGTCCGGTGTGAAAGCTGTCCAGTGTTGATATACCTCTCCTATACTCCCATTATGAACTTCTCCACTGATTACCTGGAAGAGGGCTACCCAGTACTTAATATGGTTCCAAAGGATCTGAGAAGAGTCCGGTGTGAAAGCTTTCCAGTGTTGATATACCTCTCATATACTCTAGTTATGAACCTCTCATGTGATCCTCTCCTATTGCAGATTCTATCTACATCATATCAATTACATGCTCTTAGTTGAAGTTTCTTGCATTGTTCAATACATGCTGCTATGGTTATGTTACCTTTGTCTAATGTTTATCAAAAGGGGGAGAAATATGATATGAATAGAGGGGATATGATATGAATTGAGGGGGAGAATGTGTACGAATTAAGGGGGAGACAGATGATATTAAAGGGGAGAGTGTATAAATTGAGGGAGAGAGAAAGTAAAAGCTGAGGGGGAAAACTTGTTGTATGTGTGTTTGATTAACATATGCCAAATGGGGAGATTGTTAGTACTGTACTATGTATATATATTTATATATTATATACTTAATATATATATATTAGCTACTTAATATATATATATATATATATATATATATATATATATATATATATATATACACACACGCATTAATTAGTACTTAGTTGTTGGCATAAAATCAAACAAAGGTGTGGTCATGAATGAAAGTAGGAAATGGATGTATACATGTGTACGTGTGTTGTGCTTTATGGAAAAATGAGATTGCAAAAATGTGGTTGTGCAAATATTGTGGACATTTGGAGTGGTGAACGTGTGTGTGAGTAATGTGCATGGAGTTAGAAAAGTGGTGGATTAGTTTATTACATGCAGCGTGAATCAAGGAAAGACATTACTATAAATTGGGAACATTGTAATGAAGAAGATCGGAGTTTCCAAAAACATAAAAATACAATACAAATTTGGAAGGTGCTATAATTGATTACTCAGAAGACACTACAAGGAA